ATTTTTGACAGATTTCTGACAAAAATATAAATTCGTCGAAAATTTCTTATTTTTAATTCTTATTTTTAATTTCTTATTTTTAATTTTATTTTTAATTCTTATTTTCATTTTCTAAAATTGGAATTTTTTTTTCTTAATTCTTATTTTTAACTACTTTTTATTTTTTTAAAAAAAAGATAAATAATTATCTTAGGTGTCACTTACAACAATTATGTACTATTATCGTATTGATATTTAACACCTATTGTAAATGCTTCACTCCTATTCTTTCTCACATCCATTCTCATTTGAATACTCTCTTAGAAAGGTAAACTTCACTCTCTTAACATGCAAATATCTTTTATATTTTTCACATTAAATGAAAAATCTATTGTTATCCAACAAGGAATAATTGGATATCAAAATCAAATATACGTTTTTAAAATGTTATTTTATGCTACTTCAATAGTAAATATTTGTTGAGTCAATATATATTGAATTTAAACATTCAATTATTAAATAAATCAAGTTTACAAATTTTTATAAATTTTGGAAATTATTTTATTCTTTGTTACACAAATTCAAATTAATATATATATATATTTATTTATTTATTTATTTATTTATAAAATTGTATTATATCTTAATTTAAAATTGTATTACAAAAAACCGATGTACACCATAGATTTTGCCATATTTCATGATTCAACACCATCAAGTAATACTTCATGGAAAATTAGAAAAACATACTCAATAATTTTACAATACAAATTAAAATTACTTTTTTATTATTATATAGTGACAGCCAAAACTGACACTATCAATAATATTTTTAAAAAAGAAACTAACCAACATATAACACTTCTAATAAAAATATATATATATTTTTTTTTTATCTTTACCAAAAAAAAAAAAATATTTTTTAAAACATAAATTTTATAAGTAATGATAGCCAATGTCGATACTAAAACTAAAAATGTAATGTGTAACTATATGTTAAATAGACATATATCTACATATATTGTACCTATAGTAACACTTTTTATATGTCACTATATGTAACATTTCTTGTAGTGGTCTCACGGGCTTCAATAGTGTTAATTTTCACTTTCTTGCTTTTTTTTTTTTACACTAAATTTCTCTAGGCCACTTGAAAATGTGTGACGAGAGGGTTATAAACCCTTACTCTCTATTGGATAAATAAAATAAATATTTTTCATAGTTAATTTATAATTATTATTATAAAATGAAACAAATATTTTAAAAATATTAAATAAGAAATAACAATATTTTAATGGATACTATTGGGTGTTATGCATTATCTTATGTAATTGATTTTCAAATCCAAATTTGGTTTAAGAAAGATTGTTTTTTCTTTTTTAAGTTTTTTTTAAATTCATTAAAAAAATGTATTGGTAACAGCCCCGTTTTTTGTTTTCTTTAATATTTTTATTGTCCCGCGCTGTTACTATAGTTGCAACACTGGTTTTATTATTATTATTATTATTATTATTATTATTATTATTATTATTATTATTATTATTTGTAGGATTCTTTTACATAAAAACATTTTTAAAGTTACCACAATATGTCTTATCTTAATTTTAATTTCAAGTTTAATTTGATTTAATAACTAGCTCAAAGAATATTTTTTTCTTAACTTTCATGAATCACTTCCATTTTATTATATACTTAATTTTCTCAATTATCATTTTTTTCATCTTTTTTTCTAATATTTATTATTGAAGTAACTTGAATTATTTATATTTAATTGTGTATAATAGTATTTTGAAATATTAACAAAAATACTTGTATTTAATAATGTACTAGTATTTTAACTTGTGTTATGCATTAATATAATTTTTTTATTTAACTAAAATTTATAATTACTCTTTGTATATAAATTAGAATAATTTTCTACTTTTGTAAATGCTTCACTCCTATTCTTTCTCACATCCATTCTCATTTGAATACTCTCTTAGAAAGGTAAACTTCACTCTCTTAACATGCAAATATCTTTTATATTTTTCACATTAAATGAAAAATCTATTGTTATCCAACAAGGAATAATTGGATACAAGTATGAAATTGTATATTTGAGGATGACTTAAATGAATTTATTTGTATAAGTTATACCGACAACATACATATACATTTTGGTAACTTACTCATCATAACTTCACAGTTAAGCGTGTTTGACCTGGAGTAGTACAGGGATGGGTGACCTTCTGGGAAGTTTCCCAGAAATTGCGCAGGTAAGGATAAAACACGCTAAACAGTGAAATGTGAAATAGAACCCTTGAGAGATCAAATATGAGGGTTGTTACATTAATAAATTTATTAAAATTAAAAAAATTATAATTTCTGACGGATTAAATTATTTTCGACGGATTTTTTTTTCTGACGCCACTTTTTCCGACGGATTTAAATCTATCAAAAATTCGTGGGAAAAAAATCCGTCGAAAATTTACTTGTTTCTGTCAGAACTTTATGTCGGAAATCAACATTTTTCTTGTAGTGTAAAGCAAATGAAACCATTACTTTGAAAGGTGGTAGTTCTAATAAAAAGAAAGAAAAGAAAAATAGGCAAAAGCTGAGTCTAATTCAAGATCAGACGAATGTTTTGAAGACTCAATAGATGATAAGATTTCTCTCATGTCCAAAAGAAGTTCAAGAACATATTAAAAAAGTGATCAAACAAAAAGAACACCAAAAGAAGTTTGATGGCCACTTGAAAAGATTTTGAAAGCAACAATTCATATGAAGAAGTAGCTAACATCTGTCTCATAACAAACGTTAAGTCAGATGCAACCAACATAGAGGAAAACTCTGACTCCAGTTCTTATTCATCTTATTTTGATAATGATGAGATGTCTTTTGAGATGCTTCTAGCCGACTCACATGATCTCTCTTTGAGTACAAGAAACTTAAAGAAAAAATATAATATTTTAGAAAAAGAAACTCTTGAACTAAAAAAAAAATGTCAAGCGATGCTAAAGAAATATTGTCTCAAAAACAAAATCACTAGTTTTGTTCCGCCTAACATAGACGTCTTGAAAAACGAAAATATTCAACTCAGGAAGGACTTAATGAAGTTTGTAGACGGGTCTTCTAAATTGAATATGCTTCTAAAAACATAAAAGACTATCATTTGATAAAAGTAGTATTGGCTTTGAGTCTAACTCAAACAAGCCTAAGTCTACCTTCTATGAAAAAGGAGTAAAAACTCTTGGCAAATGAAAGGAATAGACTAAGGCAAGTGGGACTAACATAAAAGGATCCAAGAAAAATTGGGTACCAAAATAAAAAAATTATTCCCATTACAAATCTTCTTAGTAAGAAGAAAGAAGAATTCAAACTAATACCTAGACAATGACTGCTCACGACAAATGAAGAAACACTAAAATAAATTTTAATAAACTATTGTAGAAATCAAATTGATGGTTTAACAATGCTAAACAAATTACCTTATAACAAAAACTTCAATTTAGTTCTTATTATATGACATTTTTGTAATTTGGTTTGGATATGACGAATATCTATATGATACTTAATATGTCATGTCAGCTCTATTAATGTTATTAACAAAAATTTTCATCTATCTAAGGATTAATTTAATGGACAAAAGCTAATTTTATAGATTTTTTTTTTGGTTTTTCATCTTTCGGGGACCAACTTATACCACACATACACTTTCAAATACCAATTTGATGGTTTAAGTTATAATTTATCTATAGTTTAAATATTACAGATGTTTAACAAAAATAAAGATATGTTAAGATAGTATAAGGTGACTTATCTATTATTTAAATATATACAGACAAATCTAACAGTAGTACAGCGTTACATTTGTGCCTATACTTTTGTATATTCTCCACTATTCTCTTTAGTAAGTACTTGAAGATTCTCACCCTTATAATTGTACTCTCTTGTATTTTTCTTGGTGATATTCTCTGTTTGACGAGTAGATGATCCACCACAATATACACTACCAATGCCTTGAGGACTAAATAAGTCCTACATCTAAGTGGCATGACTATGTTCTAAACACGAAGAGAGGCATTATGAGAACCCCATATGTCATAAAAGTTGGGTTATATGGTCAAGTTAAGAAACATGGGTTTCTGTCTTCTTGGCATCCATTTCTAGATACATGCTTTGACATTTTGATGTAGAAGTGTAACTCTTTTTGGGTTATATACGTATATTAGTTTGCTGTTTAACTTTTAAAATTTATGCATAAGTATATTTTTACTCTATTAAATAATAAGTAGATTTACTTTTAGTCTCTTAAATTTAAATTGACTTTCTAATGTTTATAATTTGAAAAAATCTTACTTTTGTTTTTCTATTGAAATGTTGTTAGTAAAAATATTTATATATAAAAAACTCATCTATCAATCTATTATACAAAATTTATCAATTATAATTTTTATAAGTAAAAATATCGTATTAAATTCAACTACTGTTACATAATTAACTTAGTTTGTGTTTGTTAGCAATTATAAGATACTAAAATAATATTTTTTAAAATTATAAAAATTAAATATACTAATTTTAAATTTGAGGGATTAAAACAAATTTTTTCTAATTTAATATATTAAAAATATATTTAAATCTAAAATTTATGACATATTATTTATGTTGGTAGCTTTTTCCTTATTTATGATAATTGATATAATTCCTTCATGTAAGTAACTATATTTCTTCATGTGCTATGTCAGTTTACATTGAGTGGTTTTTTCATTTACACATTGAATTTCAGTTTGTTTTAATGTATCGCATTTCCGTTCAAGAAATAAAAAGAAAAAATGCGCATAAATTTATCAACAAAAAAAAAAAAACTTACGATTTTTCACAAACTATTATAATGATACGAATTTCAAGTTAGTTTGGTTAATCTAACACCATTGAGGTTGTAACATCTATGTTTTGGCTTAGAGCATGCAAGAAAGCTTTTTCTTCTTATTGTTTATGAGTAAAAGTTGTATGGTTACAAGTGCATGGAGAACCAGAAATACACCCTCACAACACATGCACAGAAGATCACATAGACATTCAATATTAGTTTCTAAATCAAAATAATATATTACAACATGACAGATCAAAATATGATCCTTGATTAAAATGTCTCTAATTATCCAATACGTAAATCATACGTTTACTTGGCTTAAAGAGATTCTTACAATAAAAGGTTGACTTAATGATATCTAACCATAACGTACATTGCAAAGCTATATATAAAAGCATTGGTAGACATGCGAGCACTGAAATTGAAACAGGAACCACCCTCAAACCATCGTTGTACGTTATGAAGAAGGCACTGCCAAATGCTGCCATCATGCATGCAATGGAGATGAATAGTGTAATCAATCCAGATATCAGCTTAAATGGCAATATCTTGTGAAAGTCATACTCCGCATAACGTGAGATAAGAATAGACAAGAATATTAATGTTGAAGTAGTAGATGAGATGAATGCAACTGCATCTGATATTGCAAATACCAAGAATGCTGTTTTGTCCAAGTAATTTGGTTGATTTGTTTGATCATTGATACCACCTGGTATGTTGATTGCAGCAGCGAATACTCCTGTAGCAATAACAGTTGAAATAATCATACAAAACTCGGCAGTGCGCTTTATCCAATCCTCTGCATCTTTTCGCAATCCTTTGTGCTCCTTTGTGAATAATGCCTGGGCAGTGAGTTTATCAGAATTTTCCAAATTTATCCACGATGGTGGCGTTATCTTCTTTACCTCCTGTCACATATGCTAAGAGTCAGTATCAATGACTTTTGTGAATAAATCTCAAACCTCAATGCTAACAATTTAGAAGTAAGAAACAAATCCTTGCACTCAAACGTTTAGAAGTACTCTGGGGTTGTCTCTAGTCACGTATCATAAACTCATATGGGACAACAAATAGATAGACTCACTAAATTTTGAATTGAATTATAATGGATGAGTAATAACCAAATACATTTTTAATCAATGCTAAATGTAAAGAGTTTAATCGATAATGCGTAACTTATTTAATAAAATGTCTAATCAATCTATTAACTCTCTCTTCTTTTTTTTTTTTAATGGAAGAATATCCCAATCATTCACAATTAAAGTGTATTATATTTTATATTTTTATAAAATAAAGTTCAACATGTACACTTACATTCAAACATCAGAGTTTGGGATCCTCCTTAATGACATATATCCAACAAATAAACTTTAAACACTTTGCCGGTAGATTATAAAATATGTTAGATGTTTCATTATTCATCCAATAACAAACAATTAATCCATTATTATTTTTATAATTGCACGTTGCTTTGATTTATAGAATGGATGAATTTTTTGGTACAGCTTTTTTTTTTTTTTTTTTTTGGTACAGTATAGAATGGATGAATTGAATGGTTATAAATATATGGATTAAATTGTCACCCCAAACTCATGCTATTGTATCACATAAAGTAATCTTCTTTTAATGTCACGCTTTCTCAATTTTATCTTTTATACTTGTTTTTTGTATTATTGAATTCATTACACTTTATATATATATATATATATATACACGAAACCTCCTTAGTTCCTTTGTTTTGTTTAAGTACAACTTGACATTTTAACTATGGTTATATAATTGTTCACTTTAATCTAAACTTTAGAAAGTTTAGTAATAAAAAGATATAGGAATAAATTGGAAAAAATGTAAAATTAGATAAGTGAGTAAAGTAACCACGTGCAGGGGAATTCATGATCCCAATCTATATTTGGAATGACGATATAGAACAATTTTAAATGCACATATATATGGAAACATGCATATTTAGAGAATATATAGTACCACGTAAAAATGCAAAGTATGCAAAGTCAATGAAGTAAAGGGGTTACCTCAAACCATACTAACTCGTGGCACATTTGTAATGCTGCTCCAGAAATTATTTCAAGTCGACCTGGTGGGGCTAATTTTGCAGCCAAATGCAATAAAGTGTTGTTTCTCGTTTTGGGGTGAAGAAAATTAGGGTCTTTTTCTTCCACGATATATCTTGCTATAATATCCTTATGAGACCCTATTTCTTGTATGAGATTGAAAATGCTAGCTTGTCGATGTGAAATTGCTGTGTGAATTATACTTTGCTTTTTGTTGTCCACTTCCCATATCAAACTAGGGTGATCACTAATAAGCTCAGACAAGAATCCAAAATTACCAACTTCTGCAGCATCAAATAATACTTGAGAAGGTGTACTTATGATTCTAATTGCCGCCTTGAGGTCTCTGCCCCTAAGAATTGTTTTCCAGAGAAAACTAACCAACTGAAAAATCACTTGTTTTTTCATGCCTGCAGTATAAAACATTGGTTACTTGCAATGAAAGACGTGTAAAAAATAGGGGAAAATATACAAGCTCCACAAAAAAGTAAATAAAAGTTTAAGTTATGTGTTTGAGTTTTCCTTATAATTAGTGGACGAGGCATTTACCGGGGTTGATGTTGATGGGATATTGATGTTCTGAACAATGACAAGAAGAATCCAAAGGGTTTGGATTTTGAGCCAAAAGATGCAAAGCTGTTTCCTCATTCAGATCACGTGCAAAAGCTAGCTCTCGATACTCTCTTGCCATTTTTAAGGCCAAGTCTGAAAAAATTGATGGTCTCTACCTCTTTCAAAATCAATTTACAAACTTGCTCAAATAATTTTTATACCAGTGTTATTAACATACTTTTTTACGTACACATTCTTTGCTGTTAGTTAAAATTTATTGAAAGATATAAAATCAAAAAATTAAACATATTAAACAAAAAGTAAATCTAAAAAAAAAATTGTAAAAAGTCAATAGTAAAGATCTTGTAAATTAGTACGAGTAAAAAAAAGCATTAAACAATCTCATCGTAAATGGTTGGTGCAATTCTCTTATATATCTTAAGATGACCGAGAATTTTTTTAATTGCACCTATAATTTACAATGAAGTTGTTCAATCTTATTTATAATGGTAAAGAGTATATTTAAAAGAGGCTTGTAAGAAAATATGACCATCATTTTAGAAATACGTACGATAGTTTCCAGTCTTGATCGAACTGAAGAACAATGATTTCTTGTCTTCATCTTCGAATGTTGCTTTGGTCTCCTCGTAAAGAAAGTGTGCCATGTCGCATTTTCCTTGCATCACAGCAAACTGAAGGGGTGTAAAACCACCTCCACCCCTGATTGTTGGCAAGCGTCGATTTCTTTTCATCAATGATTCAACAATAGGCATGTTCCCAGACGCAGCAGCGAAGCAGAATGCAGTGTTGCCCTTCATATCTTGCAATGCAACGTGTTTATCATCATCAAGTATATTGAGCAACTTCTGCACAAATTCAACTTGGTTTGCACCAGCAGCAACATGCAGCAGTGTATGCCAACCACTTGCTATTGCTGCGTGCTTCAGTCTACTTTCTTGGTCTATGATGGCTTTGGCAGCTGCCCAATTGCCCATTAGGGCATGCTTGTGAAGGGGCACGCAAAGGTTCAGAAATTTGTCCAATGCTTCCCCTGAAACAAATTTAACATTTCTTACACTCACAATAATGTCTTCTTAATTTTTTAGTTATAATAGATCCATGATAGGTTAGACTATTCAATGCTTTTGTAATGTTTTTTCTTTATCTTTTGTTAACAACAGAGTGTCTTATTGGAACTAAAACTTCCATGTGTATAAAACTAATTACTTTCAAGCTAGGTGAAAGTGGATAAACTATTAATTAAGCTTTGAAAAATTAGAATAAAATTGATAATTAAGAATTAATTTATGTTTTTAAGACATGATTTTTATTGGTCAAATATACTTTGATATAAACAAGAATTGAATCTGAGAACATCATATCAACTATCAACTTTCGTATTTTAGGCAAGTCTTACAATTATTATGTCAAGATATTAGATTAACTATTTGACTAATATAAAATAACATGTTTATTTTTTTTATAATAACAATGAGAGAATAACATATAAGTAAAATAGTTTTTAAACTAAAAATGATAATATATATATATATATATATATATATATATATATCAAGTAAATTAATAATGATAAAATAGGAAAGAAAAATATAAATTAAAAACTTATAAGTTATAATTAATATATAAAAATCAAATATAAGTTCTTAAAATAAGTTCTCTTACTAAACAAACTTAATTTAATTAAATTAACTTATAAATTAGTAAAAAAAATTATAAATTTCTTAAATGTATTATTAAACACATTCATAATTTAATGGTATAGGCTAAACTTAAAATGATAACAACTATACACTACTAGAAAAGTGTTATTTTCTTGCGAATTTTCTTATAAAAAAATATTTGCAGAAATTTTTTGCGAATTTTATCGCTGTAATAATTTCATAAATTTTTTTTTATAAATTTATTTGTGAAAAATAATTTACAGATATTGTTTACAAATTTTTTTATGAAAAATAATCTACAAGAAATTTTTGCAAAATTTGCTACTATTTTAATGATCATAGAAATTTTTTTCCATGGTAAAAATTTGTAAAAAAGTATTGTAAGAATTTTATTTTGTTTATCGCAGATTTTCTTACAAAAATAAATTCGCAAGTAATGTTTACTAAATGATAGAAAAACTTTTCTTTGATTTTTTTCGTAAAAAATATTTCTGCAGAATTTTTTACGAAAAAATTCACAGGAAACTTTCCTACAATTTTTTTTGCAGGAAACTTTTCTATGAATTTTTTCACAAGAAATTTCGCACTTATTTTAAAATTCGCAAAAACATATTATCTATAAAAGTATTACCTTTCGCAAAAAAATTCGTAAAAATAATATTTGCTGCGAATTTTAATACAAAATCCGCAGGAAAAATCGTATGTAATAAGAGAAATTCTAGTAATGATAGTATAAAGTAAATAATTTAAAGTGATGATATATTGACAACCGTATAACCTATTATTTTTCTGTCTCTCTTTTTTATCATATCATATATCTACACTTTTCTGTCAACCCTTTTTTCCCTCTCTCAAGCTATCATCTAGTGTCAATTGTCCATAGATTATTTTTCATTAGTTTAACCTGGAGGATATGCTTTACTTGAAACTCGCCCAAGGGAGGGTGAAACGAAAAGTTACTAAATAGTTTGAGATTGTTACGATTTTGACTAATCTTTAAATAACAAGTGACTAAATATTATTAATTGTGTTCTATAAATTGAAAATAAATATAAATTAAATTGAGATTTATCAAATGTCCATGTAATAATTTCTTACTTGTTTCCTGTAAATAGTCAAGGATAGGAGAATTAGATTGATTTTCTACATCTGAATTTGATGGGGTTTGCAAGCCAGAGGATTGTCGTTGTGGAGTAGGAGGCACATCAACTCTGATTTCCTTATCCCTATCATAGCAAAAATAAGAAAAAAAAATGTAGAATAGACTGAATGATGCAAAAAAAAAAACAAAAAAAAAAACTTGTAAATTATTGTATATTTTACTGTGTGAATATTTATCACTTTTAATTTTTTAATTCATATCTTCTTCGAGAACAATAAACTAGTTTATGTATGTCAATTGCGTAATTATACACGTTTAGAAATCTACAAACAATATGTGCACTAAAGGGTAAAAGGTTCATGGTTAGCATTCAAAATTTAATTATCAATTATTTAAAAATTTTGAATCTAAAAAACATATATACTTAACCTTTCAAGGTCGTCCCACATTTGCTTGGCTGTTGTGGCCGTTGAAAAAGTTTCCAAATCATCTTTATTCATTGCACAATATAAAATATTTCTTGTTTTTGCTTCTAGTTGCATATTCTTTATGTCTTCTTCATCGTATTCATCTTCACTTTTCTCAACTTCTACATTGTTCACTGTCTTTGTTGGAATTGTTGGTCCATTTTTTATCACAAGCCAAAGCTTAATATCAACAGATTTTATGAATATTTTCATACGCTCCTTCCAATCGGGGTAATTTTTACCGCTGAAATACGGTGGCCTCAAAATAGAATGTCCTTCTGTGATGATATTACTCATCAAATTTGCGACTGCTCGACTGCTGAACCCTACAATGATAATTTTTATACTATTTATGCTCAAGTTATATAGAATGTTATATGGGTAGGTTGGGTGAAAGACGTGCTCCCCTATCACCCGTATTGTTTGTTACCGGAGCTTAGTTTCATCCCATTCAAAGAAATAGTGAGTATCTACAAAGACCTATGAACATTTAATAGTCCAAAATAAACTATTAAAATAAAATAAAAAATAATGTAAATGAATAAAATTCAGCAATGCACGTCACTTATATATCTAATAATTTAAAATACATAAATAAAAAAATAAAGGAACGTGACAAAAACCCACAAAATTTGATCAAATTTTTTAATCAATCCAAAAAAATAAACATTGTAATTTTTGATTTTTTTTTTCAATTTTATATAATTTCATTCGCTAGCTATCATTATATTATATTATATAAAGTGTATCAACCAATCGTTGGTTGGTGCAGTGGTAGCATGGGGCTGCACTTGGTAGGGAGGTCTACGGATCGATCCCCCACAACGACGATTGGGAGGGGCTTAAATACCGTAATCCTTGGACCCGCCCCGAATCCGGATTAGTCGGTCCATTGTGGTTCGGATACCGGGTGGTTATACCAAAAAAAAATATAAAGTGTATCAAATTATAACTTCTTCTTTTATAATGAGAAATGAAAATTATTAATATAAATCATCAGATGATATTTGAACAATATAGATTAAAAAATATAAAAGTTCATCTAATCACTAACTTACTTTTAATATTGATCACCTCACACATATATATATATATATATAATATTTCCCATTTTTCATAATAATAATTAAAAAAAAACTTAATTTGATATATATAGGAAGTGTATCTTATGAAAATCAGTTTCTTAACAATACAAAAATGTGAATGTAATTTTAGGTCATATACAAGGAAGAAGATTTAAAGTCACACAGTTACTTTTAAGAGTATTGTAACTTTTGAAAAACTCACATGATTTTTATGTTTTAATATTTACAATTCATAATAAGATTCAATGGTCAATATTTATTCTTTTCATTCTCACACAAGAAACTGATACCATAATGCGTATATCATCTATAAGGTCTATATTTTCCTTTAATTATATATATATATATATATATATATATATATTATCATTTTATTTTAAAGAGAATAAAAAATCATAACTAACATGAATAAATTTTTAAACACTATAAAAAATGTTACATATAGTGACATATAAAAAATGTCACTATAATTATAATATATGTAGGTATATACCTATTTGACATTTAGCTGCATACAATTTTAGTGTTGATTTTGAATAAGATTTAATAACATATTTTGTGTGTCACTATAGTCTATACATACATTTTTTTAACAATATACTAACATATATTATATTTATTGTGTGAGTAAAAGTAGTTTTTAGTGACACATATTGTGTCACTATAGGGTGTGTGTCACTATGTGACAATTTTCTTATAATGAAAAGAGAAAAATAATTTTTTTAGCTACACAAAGTATATATTAGGAGAGTGATACTTAACAAAGAAATAAGTGAGAAAAATAAGAAGGGTGTAAATAGAAAGAAATTACAGTAGAAAAATATTATTTGAATGGATGAAATATGGTGAGAAAAAGAAAATAATATTTTCCTGTATTTATGTGGACAAGTATAGAAAAGAGAATAAAAATAAATATATAAATATTACAAAATTATTGTAATTAAAAAAATTAAATTTAACTGAAGGTGGATTTTAATTATATTATTTTCATGAATTTTTCTTTTATTTTTTGTATAATAAGACGAAGAATCTTATTTTCTAAACATTTTTAAAATAAATAAATATCACTTGTCCCATCTCATTTCATGGCTGGTACGTGTAGGAGGCTTATTTTTTGTTATGTTCATTAAACTGATCGTACGTAAATTAAGGAAGAATAAACAAATTAAGGAATTCGTACGAAGCGAATACATAAGAACAAGGTTTTTTTTAAAAAAAAAAAATTATTTTTGACGTTTCCAACACTTGTACTGTCAATGTGGAAAATTTACTCAAGAAGATGGGAATTTCTCAAAGTAATGAAGCAGCTATTTTCTATCTCTCAAACCTTTAAAGACCAAAGAAAACTTGAATACGTAATTAAGTGGGGCAGGTGTAGGCCAGGGTGAACTTTACTTATTTTTATATATTTTAGTATACAAATATATAATATTTATTAAAAAATAACAGCTTTTAAGGATTCTTTAGAATATAAAAGAGCAGTAAATTGAAAGAAAGAACTAATAAGAAAAGTTTAAACAAGAATAATTGATACATAAGTATGAATGGTTTCTTTGATTTTTTACTATTTGGTTTCTTTTAATAGCATTTTTAACGTTATCAAAGTTAGACCATGATCACTGAATTCTTTACTCAAGTAAATGTGGATATATTTATTTTTTCCCATTTGGAATTCCTATCCTCTAGCTCATGGTCGTTGGTCATAACGCGACACAGAACATGACAAGTACGAGGATTAAACTACTCCTTATATTTATGGATTATTATAAATGGAGTATGAGGAAGCCTAAAACAAATGCAACAAGCATAACCAAACTTTATCTCAAGAAAAAAAAAATATTAAAATTTCTCTTAAAAGAATATATTAATGAGAAGCACGTGCAAAACGAGGTGGTGGGGACATATGCTTATGTTCTCCATCTACCCTCAACTTTTGGCTAGTTATTGTACGGCAATTGTTGCTTCCTAACCTGTGTCTGAAATTTCAATCTAATGAAGAAATTGTTAAAGCTGCGTACCTCAAAATATTACTTTTGTCGGCAGCTTTTCCTCCTACCCTTGAATGCCTGCACAAAAATGATCAATGATATCAAAGACTGGTCTGGGAAAATAAAACTAAAATAAAAAATTCAAAATTGTAGGAAAAAAAACGTATGTAATTCATAGATCTGGTGGGATTCTTGGTCGACTAGTAATATATAAAATAAAATTAAAAAAAAAAAATCCAGAACCCTGGGGTATATTCAAAGGGTCCATAACTGAAGGAAAAAAAGAGCAGAAAATAGAACTGAAACAACTGTAGGTTAAGATCAAACACCACGTACATCTAATTATGTGTATGAAAGAAAAAAAGAAAGAAAAAAACTTGTTAGAAGAGTTCAGTTGTTTTAGCAGATCCCATATTTCGAAGAGTTGTTCTTTAACTTGAGGTTATTCTGATTTAAAAAAAAAAAAAAGGAAAAAGAAAACAGAAGTGGAATGGAGAAATAGAAATTACCCGAAGAAGAAGATGGTGGTAGTGGTGGCGTGGTGTTGAACGAAGGAGTGGGGATTTATAGAAGAAAGTGGCCCCATGATAATAGAAAAAGTGCTCAAGAAACGTCCTTTATGTTCTTTCCTTCCTCTATGGCTTTGAACTATTGTTGCAATGGTGAACGACTTGGGTCGTCAACGAGGTGAAAATGAATCCAAAACAGATAATATTGTTCCAAGTCAGGTTAATATATTAATTGGCCAATTCATCAATAAATGTATAAAGTATATATCATAATATAATATAGAACTTATATAGTAAAGCTACTTTGTCACAATATTCGGCGCCACCATCTTATATAAACTGTTTTTTTGGTATGAATTTATTGTGTTCGACATGTCTTAGATTAACGAATCACGACCATGTTCGAGTTTAATTAAGGTTTGAATTGTATCCATAATTCTCCTTTCTTTTTTGTATGGCCGACAAGTGGTGGTGATGGGTCATTAAGAAGATACTGGACAGTCACGGGCTAAAGTCACTTTGAAAGAGTGACACATAACTGATTGAAATGATTTATAATTTATATTATTATATAAAATATATATTATGTGTTATTATAATTTATATTTATATTTTTTAATAATATATTAACATATATTATATGATAATGTAGATAAAAGTAATTTCTAATAATAAATATTATACCTTCATAGAATATGTATCATTAAATAATAATTTTTATTAGTGGTAATTTGATATCACAAGAAGAAAGATAGAAAAAAAAAAAAAACAAAGAGTGTCACTCGAGTATTTGTAACTATTTAGTATCTATATGTCATTACTTAGTTGATAAAAATATTTATAATATTAAAATTTTATTGATTATTTTAACTTGCTCGATACAAACTATTTTATGAGAGTCTTATTAATTATAACAAAATTTATTCAACTAGAATTACATTGTAATTTTTATTTTTTTCTTATCAGCAGAGACAAAATATATATATAATTAAAAGTATAAATGAAAAACAAATGTGTGGGATATGGTTTGAGCTTACATTTCTCCTAATGCAGGTTCAACACCCTATAAACATTAAAATCTTACTTTAATAGACATACGTATTTAAAGAGATTTTTTGGTGTTAGAGGTAAAATTCTTCTAATAGATCTTTGTTGTACTCTTTGTTCAACAAGTCTTGTGTACTACTAACTATTTTACATTGTAAGTTTTATTTTTTCTTATCAATAGAGACAAAATATATAAATTAAAAGTATAAATTAAAGACAAATGTGTGGGATATGGTTTGAGCTTACATTTTTCATAATGCAAGTTCAACATCCTATAAATATTAAAATCTTACTTTAGTGGACATACTTATTTAAAGAGATCCTTTTAGTGTTCGAGGTGAAATTCTTCTAATGAGTCTCTGTTGTACTCTCTATTCAACAAGTCTTGTGTTAAATTAGACACTACTAACTATTGTTTACTACTAAGTGAACAATAACGTTTGATCTGAAAATCCTTAAATTTTATTGATTCTGTACTCCATTACTCGGTAATCTTGGAAATGTTATCCCTTATCTATTATTTTTACTAATTAAGAAAATATACAAAATACATATATATTACTGGTATATGGAATTTGCTGACCATTCATGTATAATAAGAAATTAAAAACACCTTCACCTCAATACCTTAGCACTTAACTATATCACAAAGATCTAAATTTTATTATGTTCAACAAAATTCACGATACATCTACATAAACCCGTTGAGCATTCTAAATTTAATTTGTTCCTAGATACCATACACAATTTGTAAAAAGAAGTGGCTTATATAGTCACGGGTGATGACTACTTAGCTCACATGCAGTTGTAACATTATGGAGAAGATAATGAATGAGAAAACATAAGATATAACAAGTAGTGTTTTCAACAATAGACTATACAATGGACATGAAACTTCTATAAAATGGCATTTGTCTTTTTTAGGTATAGAGGCCTCTAATTTGTTTGAATTCTATCAAGTAACACCCTCCTTGCAAAAGCTTCGACGTTAGGTAGGTACTAGTGTACATTAGCACCAAAAGCATATAAAGAAAAAGGTGCTTATAAGAATACTTTGTTCATGTACCAAAAGTGTAGGAAAATTTAAATGTGTACTCCCAAGAATTATCTTCCTTTCTTCAACAATCTCTTAACCCACATCTTGACTTTACTGCATTTATATCTTCCACCAGTTTTTCTACCATCAACTTTCTCTAATTAAAACTAATCCCTTATCCAACTTCCATTCATAGCAACCCCTTAACCAATTCCCCATACTCTCCCACCATACATCTATATTGTTATAAGTTTAGATATAGTCTATCATATTTTATTCTCGAATCTTCTTCCCTATCCATTTGTCCTCCCAAAACATAACTGTAACATTTTATTTTCCAAAAATAAAAATAAAATAAATTGTTTTATTAATATTTATATTATAAAGTTAATTTATTAATAAAATTTATAATATAAATGATGAATGTTTTTATTAAATAAAATAAAGATAGATTATGGATTTGTGGGAAGCTTTTGGATTTGAACTCTTTGCTTCAACCCTACATAAAAGAGGAAGGGTTAGGTCATACATGTTAATTTTTAGACCCCTAAGAATACTCTTGCAAAGGAAAAACTTAGAGGAAAACTTATAGAAATGCATGGAGTAGCCTTGGAACATAAAAGATCATGCTTGTTATCTTGGGGGTCATTTCTAAGGTAAGAGAAGAAGTGAAAATATCCCACCTTAGGAGCAAGTATGAAGATTATATAGATATTGCAATAATCCCTAAGTTTCTTTAGAATTTGTAATAGGATGTGTTTGATGGATCAATTGATATTATGCTATTCATGTTTAGATATGGGGATAATTGTTGCAATTTTCACATATTTAAGAGGATTAATTGAACTTTTTTAAGTGTTAAATATCTTAGGGTTAGGATTATGCATATGTGATGATAATTGAGGGAGATTTGTATTATTGGGGGGATTTGTAAGAATTATATCTTTTGATGTAAATTGGTGTTAAATATGTTTTATTATGAATCTATTGTCTCTCTAAAAGGAATTAAATGTTGTGTATGTTGATAGTTTGAGCTTGATCCTAAGATAATGATATAAAGGATATATTTGTAGTCCTTAAAATCCCAAATTTATAGAGCAGGAAAAAGATTGGATGATATACCTAGAGGTTGAGCAATAAGAGTACTAATTAAGTAATTAAGGATGCAAGAAATTAGGAGTGACAAAACGGGCCAGCCTGGCCCATTTTGGCCCTGCCCACCAATGGCCCGCCAAAAACGAGTCAGGCCAGGCCGGCCCGCCAATAGAAAACGGGTTGGGATAGCTAGCCCGCCCCACCTAAGGGCAGACTAGCGGGTCGGCGGGCCAACCCACATACCACAAAAAAAATTACAAAAAAAAAATATGTTCAAATAAAAAAAAACTACTACAAATAAATAAATATAACTATATAAAATTAAAAATGCATACATATTATACATAATATATGTTCAACAAAAGTAAATTACAAACTTATAACAAAATCAAATAGAAATTAGTCGACTTACACTAAAATCAAAATCCAATTATAAACTTACAAATTACTAATAAACTAAATTTTTGATAGTCCACAAAACAAGTCCAAACACAATTAATCAACTTTAACTTTCTATATTTTTTTTGTATTGAACATCTTCATCCTCATCTTCTACATCAAAATAAATTAAACATAAAAAAATTTAATATAAAAAAATTAAAGTATGTGGATTGACAGGTAGTGATAGACCAGCCCGCTATTTGGCCCGGCAGGCTGACGGGTTTGGCGGGTTGAAATATTGGGCCTGGCCCGCGAATCACAACCCATTTTATCATCCTATAAGAAATTAATATTAGATTTCAAGAAAAAGAAGTAGCTAGAATACTAAAATAAATTGTAGAAGATTCGGTACTAGTGATATACTAAAAATTTCCAACATTAAAAATTTTGTTCACCACCATTCATGAAGACAGTCGGAGCCTATAAATAAACCTTCACACATGAGATTTGAGTGTACCTCCCAAATGCAATAAACTCATGTTATCATTTTCTGTCAATTACTAGCTTTCACTACTTCACATATTTTTTAAATTATCTCACGTCACTAACCTCCTCCCAACAACAAAAGCTAATCCTTCTTTCATTATTTCTCTGTTTCTTCAATATATCACTTGACTCTTACAAAATGGAAGAATATATCCTTCAAAAAACGAATTTTAGTACAAAATCATTTTTGCTATTAACAATATTACTTTTTAAGTCCAAATAATATTACAACTTTCACAAATCAAAACATGATTTGATTACAATGCCTCTACTTCTCTAGAAGGTAAATCATACGTTTACTTGGCTTAAATAAAGTCCTACAGTAGTAGGTTGAGTAGATGATATCTGACCATAACGAAAATTGCAAAGCTATATATAAAAGCATTGGTAGACACGCAAGAACTGAAATAAAATCAGGAACCACCTTCAAACCATAGTTGTACGTTATAAAGAAGGCACTACCAAATGCTACCATCATGCATGTTATGGAGATGAATAGCGTTATCAATCCGAAAATTAACTTCAAGGGCAATGACTTGTGAAAGTCATACTCTGCATAACGTGATATAAGAATAGAAAAGAATATTAATATTGCAGCTGCAGATGAGATGAATGCAGTTGCATCTGATATTGCAAATGCTAGGAACGAGGTTTTGTCCAAGTAATTTGGTTTTTTTGTTTGATCATCGATGCCACCTGGTATGTTGATTGCAGTAGAGAACACTCCTGTTGCAATAACGGTCGAAATAAGCATGCAAAATTCAGCAGTGCGTTTCATCCAATCCTCTGCCTTTTTTCTTAGTTCTTCGTGCTCCCTAGTGAACAATTCTTGAGCAGTTAAGCTTTCAGAATTTCTCAATTTTATGAATGATGGTGGCATTATCTTCTTCACCTCCTGTCACATATATATCGAGTTGAGTAAGTATAGATGAATGTAGTGAATGAACCTCGTATCCCAACAACTACAATTTAGAAGTTCAAAGCATAAATTAGAAGTCTCAGTGATTGTTAAGTCTCAATGCATGTACTAATTATTACCTCAAACCATATTAACTCAAGGCTCATTTGGAATGCTGCTCCAGAAACTAATTCAAGTTGGCCTTGTGGGGCTAATTTTGCAGCCAAATGCAATAATGTGTTACTTCCTTCCACTATATATGTTACTATGATATCCTTATGTGACCCTATTTCATGCACTAAATTGAATATGCTAGCATGGCGATGCGAAACCGCTGTGTGAATTATACTTTGGTTTTGGTTGTCCACTTCCCATATCAGGCTAGGATGAGCACTAATAAACTCAGACAAGAACCCAAAATTTCCAACTTCTGCTGCATCAAATAATAGTTGAGAAGGTTCGCTTATGATTTTAATTGATTCCGAGAAGTCTTTGTGGCGGAGAATCGTGTTCCAAAGAAAATTAACCAGTTGAAAAAACACATGTTGTTTCATGCCTGCAATATAAAACCATGGTTAATTGCAATGAAATAATTGTTCAAGGACAGCCACGTATAAATCAAAACTGAAGCATCGTGTATGAATTTTGCTGAGAATTTTACCGGGGTTGATCATGATGGGATTTTGATGCTCCGGACAATGACAATAAGACTCCAAAGGTTTTTGATTTTGAGCCAAGAGATGCAAAGCTGTGTCATCATTCTCATCGCGTGCATAAGCTAGCTCTTCCCTTTCTCTTGCCATTTTTAAGGCCAACTCTGAAACACATTTTTAAGGTTGCCTCAATTAATTAAAGCATTTTGGGATCCTATTTTTCACACCCATATGAGAGACAAATCAACAGATTTAAACTACAACACACTCATAAAACATGAAACTCATATTCATGACGTGAGTCCAACATCTATTACTTATCTCTTTTGATACTTAAAAAGTCAAAATTTTGATGATCAAGACTTTTTTCGAAATAGACACTGATGTGGGAACATTGATGACGTGTACCATAGTTGGCAGTGTGGATAGAAGTGAAGAACAAGAGTTGGCAGTCCTGATCCTGAAAGACAGGTTTGGTGAGATCATACAAAAAGCGGGTCATGTGGCATCTTCCTTGCATGGCAGCGAAGTGAAGAGGGGTGCGTCCATTTCCGCCTCTGATGAGAGGCAAGAATGAGTTCTTGTGCAGCAACAAGCGAGCAATGTCCATGTTCCCAGACGCAGCGGCGAAGCAGAATGCAGTGTTGCCCTTCATGTCTTGCAATGCCATGTGTTCCTTGTCGAGTACTTGGAGCAATTGGTCAACGAAGTCAACGTGGTTTGCACCAGCAGCAACATGCAGCACTGTGGGCCAACCCTTCGCTATTGCTGCGTGCCTCAGCTTCCCATCTTCGTCTAGGATGCGTTTTGCTGCTGCCCAGTTGCCTTCTAGGGCATGCTTGTGAAGTGGCACACACAGCTCCATAAATTTGTCCATGGCTTCCCCTATAAATTATAAACATATAATAAAATCCTTTTATCATTCATATCTATACCAACTATTTATCAACTTTTCTTAATTATTAATTCGTATCCGACAATTTAATTATTTTTAATAAAATCTTTATTCTCAATCATCATTCATTATAAATATATATATAAAATTCTTTACTAATTAATCTTCTCATGCACTCAATATATATGCATAGCTAGTAATGAAAATGAATATATATATATATATATATATAATCATGTTAATTTTATTTTTATTGTAAGTTATTGTCTGCCTTTACGACCAATTCTTCTTTGTCCGAAACTTTTACAATTACAAATTAAAATAATTTGAGATGTATGATAACATTGTTCTTACGAATTGATCTATATCACAAACAAACATCTTCTTTTTTATGTGAAACATATATAGTTACGAATTAAAATAATTTGAGATGTGTGATAACATCCTTCTTAAGAATTTCTCTTCATAATGCACCAGGTCCTATGAGAATAACTCAAAATTTTTGTTATAACAAGTATTAATTGAAGAATTCAAGAAACTCTTTTGAAATATTGTATATATAAGAAAAGAAAATATGTTTGTCAAAATTATCATAAACCAAGTCTACTGATCAAGAATATAAAATAATACTAATTATTAGATTAAGTCAAATGGATAAGATAAAACTTAGTTTGAATCACCAAGTCAACAAAATTAAATTTAATTAAAATATATTTTTTTTAAAAATAAATTAATTAATTTATAATAATTTCTAAACCTTAATTAAATATGTTAATTTTTTTTTGAAATATTACTAAAAATATAAAAAAAAAATTTATATTTCATTTTCATGACGTGATAGGTTGTCAAAATCGTTAGACATTATAAACTCACATTTATGGGGACAATCTATGTAGTTGGGTGTGCTGAAACATGTTGGACTAGCGAAAATTAAAGTTTCATGAAAAAAAAATTAGTCTTTTACTCAATGCATGAACCGAAAAAAATCGGTGGTAAGTAAAAAAAAAAGAGTTCTATTTTCATTCTATTTTATGATTATTTTTCTTTTCATTTCTTTGGCATCACTTATAACATCTTTTCTTCTCTATATACTTTACTTTTTTATTTCCCTTCTTTTTATAAAATCATATAGTTTTTATTTCTTCGTATCTACTAGATTAAATTAAACACTTAAAAATGATTATTTCAACAAAACATTTTTTGTTGGTGAAGCTTGGGTTAAAGGAGAGTGAGAGTAGCGTACTTGTTTCGGCGAGAAAATCGAGGTTAGGAGCATTATAATGAGCTGACGCCACGACCACTTCCACTTGGTGCCGTGGGTGCGGAGTTGGATTGCTGACGATTGTCATTTCCCTGTCAAAAACAAAGATTCCAATGCTGTACAAATTTTGCCTATTTTTTAAAAATAATTAAATTTGTAAAAGAAAAACACAATTAAGCAATTCTTATGCATATATATGCCAATTTTATTATGATGTTAAATTTCTTAATTTTAATAAAATAATTAGTTAGTTGAAAATATAAAATTTTTTACGTAGTCAATAAAAATCATCAAGTTTGTACTATAATTCATTTGAACAAGAGAGACCAAATATATGGATAGATTTCAAGAGATGATGATAACAACACTAGAAGGAAATAAAAAATGATAGAAACATATGAAACAAGATGGATAGCGACAAAAGTAAATAAAAAAAATATTGTGCAATGATAGATGAGTGAAAGAGAATTATAGCTACACTAGTATTACTAAGAAGAAAATAAACCCAAGAAATTTAATCATGTTCTTTTCAATGATAGAGACTACAATATATGTAAAATAATCATTATAATGTATCCCTACAAGTGTAGGATTAAAGTTTATTGAAAGCTAAATGAAATAGAAAATAAAACCAAAACCCTTATTACTAGGCATAGTCTCTCATCCAACCTGGTTTGAATATAATACGTTTAGACCTATTTATATTTGGACTAGTTGGTTCTCTGTCATCTAACATATTGCATAACTTTACAATGTGCATTACGTAATTAAGTTTGGAAATCAACACTGCATGCACTAAAATAAAAAAAGGTTCATGATTGAGCATTCAACAATTATATAATTTTATAACTTTGAAACCAAAAATACTTAACCTGTCAAGCTCGTCCCACATTTGCTTGGATGTTGTGTATTTGGAAATTTTTTCGAAAGTATCTTGATTTATGGCACAATATAAAATATTTCTTGCTTTTGCTTCTAGTTCCAAGTTCTTCATGTCTTCTTCATCGTATTCATCTTCACTTTTCTTTACTTCTTCATTGTTCACTATTTTTGTTGGAATTTTCGGTCCATTTTTTATGACAAACCAAAGTTTAAAGTCGACAGATTGTATGAATACTCGCATACGCTCTTTCCACTCAATGTAATTTGTGTCATCGAAATATGGTGGTCTCAAAATAGATTGTCCTTCAGTGATGATTTTACTCATCAAATTTGACTATTGAACCTACGTAAAGGATATATTTCTTCTACTATTATGATCAGGAATGTTAAATAAGTGAGTTGGGTTTGAATGCATGAAGTGCACTTCCCATTATGGTTCCAAAACACTTTTTCAATCCTTTAAAGTATATATCTATATGAATATTTACTAATTTAAAATAAAATATTAGAAATTATAAATTTAACATAAATTAATGAATATCTATGTATACACTTATCTAATAATTTAAATTACATAAAATTCAAAGAAAAGTGAGAAATGATATATAAAATTTGATTTATTATTTAATAATCAATCCAACAAATAAATATTATTTAAAATTATGGGTTTTTTTCCTTTTGCAATTTCATATCATTATAAGTTCATTCACTATTAAATTTTATTTTGAAAATCGAACAGTAACATCACCACCACAGAATCTAGCAACCGAATATATGAGTCTACATTCGTGACCAACTTTAGCGACTAAAACATGCTATATTAAACTTAGCGGCGAACTTAGTCGATGAATGTTCGTTACTAGCAAATAGTTAGTCGCTAAATCTTACTACATGCATGCATCCCATTATTAAAAAAATAATAATAATAAATTTCTTAAATTCTTATAAGTATGGGTGGATAAAAAAAACTGAACTGTACTGAACTGGTATTGAACTAAATTGAACTGTACTATAAAAAATTGAATTTTTTATAAAAAAAAAAACTGTACTGAACTGTTTAAAAAAAAACTGTACTGAACTGTTTAAAAAAAAAACTGAACTGAACTGAACTGTTGGAAAGTTAATTGTACTGAACTATAAAACTGAACTGAATTATAAAAATTAAACTATTTTTATAAAAGATAAAAATTAAATGTGTCTAACATGTTATGTCTTAATGGATTAACTAGATAGTTTAAAAACCCAAACTATAGAAAGAAAAAAAAAAGTGATAAAAAAAATTGTATCAATTTTGTCAAACCTAACGGATCAATTGAGCTATCTTGGATTACTTATTTTTAGGCTTAAAATTCACTGAGTTTGTTTGACTTAATTTTATATTTTTTTCTTTGAAAAATTTAAATAAAATGGAAAATAAAGTAAAGTTGGAAAATGTGTCCTATTTTGATAGATCAATGAGTTAAAATTGTTCAATTTAAAATATCATAACAGTTCAGTGCAGTTTAAATTGCAGTTCAGTTCAAGTTTTTATAGTATAGTTAAGTTCAGTTCAATGATACAAAATATTTCAATTCAATGATACAAAAAAATATTTCAGTTCAGTTTGTCTGAACTAATATTTAGTTTAGTTCAGTTCATGAGAACTACTTTTAAGTTCAGTATAATTTTTATAAGTTCAGTTCATTTTGCTCACCTCTACTTATAAGGGGTAACCAAATTACCTTACAAATTCTTAAGTAAAACAAAACATAAGTCCTTACATAAAAAATACAAATATGAGGAAGGGGAAGCATGCAAGGGACTAGATACACCTAGAAGTGTAAGTCCGTTACAAGAAAATTGACATATAGTAATACACACCCTATAGTGACATTATACATGTCACTAAAATTATTTTTTATGTACAATGATGGCAATAAGAATAAAATTTAAGACCTCATTCAATCTACCCAAATTAAATTCTCCATTATTAGGTCAATCTAAGTGGGTAATTAAAGATTGTGTTTGTTTTAACGCATCAATTTCTAGAAAGTAAACTTGAATCCAATTTTTTTTTTTTTATATGTCACTATATGTAACATTTCTTGTAGTGGTCTCACGGGCTTCAATAGTGTTAATTTTCACTTTCTTGCTTTTTTTTTTTTACACTAAATTTCTCTAGGCCACTTGAAAATGTGTGACGAGAGGGTTATAAACCCTTACTCTCTATTGGATAAATAAAATAAATATTTTTCATAGTTAATTTATAATTATTATTATAAAATGAAACAAATATTTTAAAAATATTAAATAAGAAATAACAATATTTTAATGGATACTATTGGGTGTTATGCATTATCTTATGTAATTGATTTTCAAATCCAAATTTGGTTTAAGAAAGATTGTTTTTTCTTTTTTAAGTTTTTTTTAAATTCATTAAAAAAATGTATTGGTAACAGCCCCGTTTTTTGTTTTCTTTAATATTTTTATTGTCCCGCGCTGTTACTATAGTTGCAACACTGGTTTTATTATTATTATTATTATTATTATTATTATTATTATTATTATTATTATTATTATTTGTAGGATTCTTTTACATAAAAACATTTTTAAAGTTACCACAATATGTCTTATCTTAATTTTAATTTCAAGTTTAATTTGATTTAATAACTAGCTCAAAGAATATATATATTTTTTTTGATAAGCCAAGAATTTAAGAATATTTTTTTCTTAACTTTCATGAATCACTTCCATTTTATTATATACTTAATTTTCTCAATTATCATTTTTTTCATCTTTTTTTCTAATATTTATTATTGAAGTAACTTGAATTATTTATATTTAATTGTGTATAATAGTATTTTGAAATATTAACAAAAATACTTGTATTTAATAATGTACTAGTATTTTAACTTGTGTTATGCATTAATATAATTTTTTTATTTAACTAAAATTTATAATTACTCTTTGTATATAAATTAGAATAATTTTCTACTTTTGTAAATGCTTCACTCCTATTCTTTCTCACATCCATTCTCATTTGAATACTCTCTTAGAAAGGTAAACTTCACTCTCTTAACATGCAAATATCTTTTATATTTTTCACGTTAAATGGAAAATCTATTGTTATCCAACAAGGAATAATTGGATATCAAAATCAAATATACGTTTTTAAAATGTTATTTTATGCTACTTCAATAGTAAATATTTGTTGAGTCAATATATATTGAATTTAAACATTCAATTATTAAATAAATCAAGTTTACAAATTTTTATAAATTTTGGAAATTATTTTATTCTTTGTTACACAAATTCAAATTAATATATATATATATTTATTTATTTATTTATTTATTTATAAAATTGTATTATATCTTAATTTAAAATTGTATTACAAAAAACCGATGTACACCATAGATTTTGCCATATTTCATGATTCAACACCATCAAGTAATACTTCATGGAAAATTAGAATGTACGATATAAGTTTTTTAGTGATGTACGTAACTATATAAAGAATCAGTAAATTATTCCCTTTCTATTATTCTATATATATATATATATATAAGTATTTTATTTAATTATTTTAAATTAAATTGATTAATTACTTAATTTGTTTTAATTGATTAGTCCTTTTTTAACAATTATAAACAAATAAGTTTGCAAAAAAAGTGTTATTTACATTAAAAATATTAATAATTAATTACTATTTGTTATTGAAAATACAGTTAATTTTTTTAATAGTTTCTGAATAATTTATATAAAATGCTGTGGCGAAAAAGAGATTAAAACAACTAATTTGATTGATTGATTGATTAAAGTTATCAAAAAATATTTAATTGAAGACCGTATAAAAAATGTAAAATTTAATATAATTATATATTTTTACTGTTTATAATCAATAAAAAATTATAAAAAGAAATTAAGTCGCTAATAATTTAGGTGAATTTTTTGCAAAAAAAAAATTATTAATTAACTCAAATGTTTTAATTATGTTAAAACATTATTTAATTGATTTATTAAAATTAACTAATTGATTATCACATAAGATGTTAAAACTACTATGTATTAAAAGTGTGATATTAATTAACATTTGGATTAAGCTAAGCAAAAACATTTACTTCAACTCAATTCTGTAGTCATCACGCAACGGGTTCAAACCTAAGACCGTCCCAAGTCGTTCAACTATAGAAAATTGGACACATTCATAACGCGTCCGTTAACCAAAGAAAGCATGAAA